GCAGGACGCCCGGCTGGACGGCCACGATGCTGACATTTTAGCGCTGCAGGGCGCCGGGCCCTACGCCACCAGCGGGGACCTGACGGCCCTCCAGCTGACTCTGCAGTCCGCCATGCCAATTCCTACCGGGGCCTGTACTGAGTGGGTTGGCGGACTGAAAAGCAAGCTCCCGGATCAAGAGCTTGAGCGCCAGAAGGAACACTCCGTTTATTCGGATAGGCACTGAAACCACCCAGACAAGGAATACAGATAGCCCCTGCCGGCCGCTAGTCGCAAACCTTCCCCGCTGCAATGCCTCAGACACGCTTCAACCTGGCAAAGTTTTGCCATTGCAACCTGATGGTAATTCTGTTCGTATTTCGGCCCTTTCGGCCCCGCGAGATTATTTCGTCCGCAGAGCTGATGCTTGGGTGATTTGTCACCGCTCGCAAACTCGCTTCAGCACTGGAATTTGATTGAACTGTATTGCTGCATCAGTCTTCGTCGTCCCGGCGGTGATGTGGTGATGTGGTGCCTAGCAGCAGTAGGAGCAGCAGCGGAAGCAGCAACAGCAACCCAGCAGCAGCAGCAGCAGTAGCAGCAGTAGTAGCAGTAGCAGGCAGCAGTAGCAGTAGCAGTGTAGCAGGAGCAGGAACCGTAGCAGTAGCAGTAGGAGCACAGTCGTTATTCTGGTTGAGTCGTCGTCGTAGTACTCGTAATAGTCGTTGTAACAGCACTAATAGTAGCCGTGGTAGTAACAGCGGTAGTAGAAAGAAAGTAGAAATGTCCTTATGTGGTTTTCTTACGTTCAGTATAACTTTTCTCTACAGAAGTAAATGGTGGATATTAGGATGGCGGATATTAGGCGCACATTGGGCTAAATTGCATATTTGATTTGTCACTGCCTCACTGCCTGCACCTGCCTGCACTTTCCCCGTGTCGAGGGCTTGACATTGGCCACACGCATAGCCCTCAGGAAAGTGTTCAACATTCAACAGCAATGCAATCTCTTCATCGGGCAACAAAGCTGCTTCTGCTATTAGCTGTATCAGGCTGTATCAAGCTGGCAAGAGCGACATCGACATCAGGACAACGTCAAGGTGTTTCTCAAACTGCTTTGCCGCCCAAGTAAATCAAGCAACATCACCACACTGCCAACGTGCTTCTCAACCTGCTTTGCCTCCCAAATAAATCAAACAACAGGTTGCACCAATCGCGACTTCCGAGCCAAAGCGATCGTCCCATCAACAAGCCAACACGCCTCCAACCCTCAGAGCCGGATATCTCATCAGTCTCTTCACGGGGCCAAACAATGTGACAAGCAATGTAGGCAATGTATGATGTGCAGTCTGCAGTCGACAAATCGTCACTGATCGACAAATTCCAACTCCAATTGCTCCAATCGCCAAGCACTGCCAAGCACAGCCAACGAAGTCGCCAGTCGCTGCCAAGCAACACCGACGTCTCGCCACAAGCTTCGACAACGACTCTCAACAAATAGTTTGGAGGATTTGGCTGCAGACGATCAAGCTGAAACCGAACGCCGCATACACGACTCCAGTGCGGTTCCAGCCTCAATGCACAATTTGGTCGGTTGCAACCGAACCCGAGTAACCCGAGACGCCCTCAGACTCATCACTGGGCACAGTAAGCCAAGAATCCTGCACACGAGCGAGAGAGGGACGGAGGGAGAGAGGGGTTTAGGGTCGGGTTTTAAGGATGTTATAATCGGTATGCTTCATGGGCTGTTTTTCGCAGTGATGATATATGTTAAAACCATGTAGATATACTCCCGGACTACTGGAATAGGAAATCTACTTACTGATTGTGGACGGTGCATCATGGGGTTGTACATCAAGGATATTCGATACACTGTATGTATGTTATATACATTTTTAGTATCTATATTTTTTATATATACATGTATGTGCAGCGGACAAAGACGGACAGAGAGAAAGAGAGAGAGAGAGAGAGAGAGACACCCACACACACACACACGCAGATAGACAAGTCGAGAGTCACAGTCACATTTCACTCTTGAGACCAGTCATCTCGACGCTGCAGCTGTGAACAACTGAACAATTACAGTCACTGCTACGGTCAGGAATGCGACATCCTAAACCCTAAACCGTGTCATGGCATGCCATTACACTTGGCTAAATAACGAAACTGACTCATTAACCCTGTCGCATCAAAAATCCTAAAACCTGCCTCAGGGTTCAGACTCACTGCCCAGGGGCCCGTTCACTGGCTGCCGAAGTCGCTCTGAGAGGACTCATTGACCGCACTGCCATCTGCCCCAAAACCCAAGGAAGTAATCAATGAAGAAGATGAGAATGCAGAACCAGTAGAAGCTCCACCGCTGGCACGCATGAGCTGAGCTTTCGGCTGCAAGTGCGACATGATGTAAAGCAACTGCAACCCAACCAATGGCACATACATGGAGTTGCCCGCACACTTCTTCATCTTTGCACGACTCATCTTGTCAATGCAATCTTGGCAAGGAAGTGGCCACCCTGGCACAAAAGGATATACTGGAAAGCCCATTGCCAGCAAGTGCTCTCTTGCAAGAAGTGGCCGTCCACGCTGAAAATTGTGAACCATCCCGTGAGTCACAAGAGTCGGAACATCAAAGCCACCACGCGGGCCATATCCTGCATTGTGGTCTAGATCGGCCAACAGGACCTTTGGATCGTGGATCATCCTCTTTGTCACTCTTGTCTTCTCTCTGAGTCGATACTTTGGCCCTGTCTGGCGAGGGTCCTCCACCACGAAGCTTTCCATGCGACGACGTTGTGTTGGGTTGTAAACGACGGACCAGTCAGGGACAGATTCCAGTGAAATTTCTGGATTGCACCCCCTGAGTGCACTCAGATGCTGCAACTCTGACTCAAGCTCGTTTCTGGGAGCCACAAAGAACACGTCACCTGTTGCCTGCAACTGTCGATAGCACATGTCGTCAAAGATGGTTGGGCAGCCGACGAAGTCGTGGTCCTTCCGAATCATCCACGTGTAACGTCGGCCCCATCGTCTCACCGGATGCCCAATTCGCAACGGCGATGTCCGGCAATCGTGGAGCTCGTAGAGATCCCCAAACCATTCAAGCAAACTGGACCACGGCTGATTTTGGCTGCACTCGTGGAAGACAATGTCGGGCTGCGCCTTCCGAACATGCTTGCACCACACCAACCATGGATCATCAGAGTCCTGGTGAAGATGGCCTTGATGCTTTCCGAGGGGGCTGTGCGCAACGCAAGTCGAACCAGCAAACTCAACAGTCAGAGGGTTCCGGAAGTGCACGTGGTCGGCGAAGCTTGAGGTCCTGAACAGAATCCACAGATTGACGTGTTTAAGGTATTTATAAGCTGCTTCGAGGGCACACTACGACTTCTTCAGTTCAAGATTGAGCAGGGAACACAATAACACAACGATGCTTGAACGACTTTGCTCAAGCCTAACATACCAGGCCTGCAAGCTCGGCCATGTGCCAGGCAATGTGCATCAGCCGCCAACACCGAGTCCGGAGCTCCAATGAACCAATCATTCAGCTCCTCTCTGCTGCGACCTTCACCTTCTCGTGCCTGCACAAAGCAATCCATCGTCTCGGGGGTCAAGTAGTCCAGCAAGTTCCGGAACACGTGATGGTCGCTCGTATGCCATTCCTCAGACTCCCACTCCAAAGCCACAGACTGACACTCTGGCGCATTGTCGCAGCTCCAAGCTGCACTGAGGCAGGGTTGGGGCAACGGAGCCCCTTGCTTCCTCATGGCCTTCACGATCATGGTCAAAGCCGTTTCCGGTGCCTTGATGCCGCTGTAGCTAGATCCAACCAAGATTCCTCTTCGAACATTCCCGCAAAGCCTATTCCATTGGGTGTTGCTAGACTTGGCAATCAAGGCCACCTCTTGCTCGGCCCACTGCATCACGTCGGCGATGTCAGATGGTCCTGGAGGAGGAGGAGGATCCCAATGGGGCCGTGCTTGTGGATCGAACTTCAGCAAAGTCTCTTCCGAGAGGCACAAGTTGGGGTCACCATTCCGCGACCTCTTCACAGCCATGGCACAAAGCGGCTGGCCTCGGAAATGGAATCGCGAGTATACGAGCTGCAACTCCACAAGCAACAATGTACAATGACAATGTCACCAACTCAAGCGGCAATGAGCTTCAGCAAACACAACAGCATGCGACACCTGGACGCTGACATGTAGCATCCCTGCCTAACTCCTGCCTTTTCTCCACGCAGAGTACCCAGGACACTCTGGGTTACGAAGTATTGATGCTGCACCCAATCGGCACAACATGGGAGTGACTCGTGAGCGACACGTCTACTCGAAAACGGCCCACACTCAAGCGACACAATGCGACAGAGTCCTCCATGTCCATAGTCAAGTCTGGGCCAACTATATAACAACACAAGCAATGAACATGGCAACGACGATTGAATAATGATGCAGGAGTCAAACCGCCCAATGCACAAGCAACGACTGTAATATGGCAAGGACTCATCGCAATGTGGCCTAGCTAGACCTGCGAGTTTTCACAAAGACATACGGCCCATACGGCCCTTAGCTGTGATTGAAAAATGTTCAGGGCCGGCCCTCATGCTTTGATATAACCCGCTACAAGCAAAATCACTGTCCTGTTGTCCACCGTCTACGGCAATGCCTTGGCGGCTTCCACAAAGGCCTCTGCATTTTTGCGGCCGCCTGACTGCGATGACAACGCAAGCAATCTTTCCACGTTGCCGTCCAAGATGTCGTTCTTTGACAGCACAGTCGTTCTCAGACCCATGCAACATGTGTCTTTGGTGACGTCGGCCACAATGTAGCCTGCCGGGGTGAAGAGCATGTCCCCCGTCTTCGTCTCAGCTGAGTAGATGGTCGGCTTCGGGTCGCTTTTGTCCAACTCAGACGCTGACAACGAACGGAAGTACTGGTAGGCAGCCTCATCAGATCCGATGTTCTTGCCCAAGCCTTTGGCCAAGTCCAATAGCTCCGCCGCCGCTATCATGATCACCTTGCACGGCGAGTCAGATGATGACAAAGGCGACCATTAGAGGGGTTAGGGTTCGGGTTTAGGGTTAAAGGGCAGTAGTAATTATAGTAATAATAGTAATAATAATAATAATAATAATAATAATAATAGTAATAGTAATAATAATAATAGTAATAATAGTAGTATTATCGTTTTCACGTGAACCTCAAAGCATCATTGAAACTTCATAGTAAAAGTTGTGATCTTTATTTTTATCGTAGTAGTAGTAAAAATATAGATCGGGAGCCTGGCGACTGCCCTCGAGCAACAACCTGAGCTGCCCCATGCACTCAAACTCGCTCGCAACGAAGGTGAGGTTCTCACGCATCGCGAACGTGCTGACCATGTCTCCGGATTTAGTCGAGGATGCTGACGCAATCTTTTCATCCTGCATCGGGTACCCGCATTTGATGAGGAACTTCCTGATCGATTCGGCAACCTCCTTCGGCCGGGTTGGGCATTGTGCACGGCCGGTCCTCTCGTACACAGGCGAACTTTTGTACAGCTTCTTGAACATGCGGAGATCCGTCTGGAATGCCTCACTCTCCACGTGGATCTTCAGCTCGGGAGCCTCGGCAACCTCCTTGAAGTACCATGGTTTCTTCCAGTCGTCCTTGCCGAGAGGCTCAGTTCTGCTGGGAACGGAAGTCAAGTACTTCGCATCCAGCAGATCAATGCGACGACCTTGGCCTGCTTCCTGGGCTCGATTTGCCAATGCTGCATCATCCGTCTCCTTCTTGGTCTTCTTGGCATCTCGGAGCGGTTGGCTGTCGGCCTTTCGCTTCTCCCGCTGCTCGGCCCGAGCCTGGTCGCGAATTCGCGATGTCTTTGCCGTGAGCAAGTCATTGACACTGCTTTTGAATGCTGAGCACAAAGTCCGGATCTGATTGATGTCGGCGCTGATCTCTTTCCTCAGCACCTCCACGTCATCCATCGTCGTGCGCGTCAACAGCCTCTGCAACTTCTTCTTCACAGCATCGACCTGCAACAGATGATCCAAACTTACGGGGAGGTAGGTCAGCTCCTCCTCGCTAAGCCCCGCCTTCAGGTCCTGCAAGGTCACAGCTTTTGAGCCATCCCCAGCCTGGCCAATAAGAGACCCCAGAGCCCGAAGCTTCACCTCGGCAAGATTGAGAAAGTGCTGGTAGGAGTCAAGGTCCTCTTGGTTCTGCTCCTTGAACGCTACGATCTTGACATATCCCTCCGTCAACGCCTTCTTGCAGTCGTCGTCGGAACGCCCCAACGCTTTCTGCAGCTCCTCGTACTTCTTGCTACGTTTTCTCGCAAGGCCCCTGGCATCTTTCTCTTGTTTTCTCGGGTCGTCCTCCTTCTCAAACTTGGGGTCCTTGGTGGGGGTCTCCTGGAACACTGGCTTGCTCGAGGCGCCAGCTTGTCCGGACTGAAACAGGAAGCTGTTGCGAGTGCCACCGCTGATGCCATTGATCCTGAAGTGCTCATCCGACCATCGTGGTGCCCCGGCATTCATCTGCTCATCCGCACCGTCGATGTCGGCATCCTTCGGGTTCTTTTTCGCCTTTGACAGCAGCTCTCGCTCCTTGGAATAGCCGCTGATGTCTTCACGGAGAATGTAATCCTTTGTTGGAACAAACAATCGTAGCTTCGAATGGGCTGGCCCCAGTTCGTCGCGTTCGATGTCTTCACTCTTCTCGTACTCCTTCCATTGGGCGAGGGCGGCCTCTGCATCCAGGCCTTTGTTTTTCTCCGCCCACTTCACGTACTCGGTGTAATGCATCGGCACTTCTTTGGAACCTGTCACAGAAATCAATGGAGAATATTTTCCATTGTAACTCACGAATAACTGAAAACATGTTGCCCTTTATCATAGTTTCCGTCATCCCTTTATCAACAATCACAACAGGCCACGGGTGTCCCAAAACGGAGCCGCGATTCCACGATCCGACAGCTTGCTTTCCAGATTTCGTAATAAGGTGGGAAGCCCATCAAGGTAAATAATAACTCGCTACTGGGCCGCTAGCAGCCGCTAGCAGCTACCACAGTAATTTGAATCACGAGTGTTATGGAATTCTTCTCTCTTTGCACGGGGGTTCCGCATGCGCAATTGAAGCAGCGATACTTGGAGTTCTGCGATCAGGACGGATCATATAGATAAAAAGGGGGGACGCGGGCGAAAATACCAGGATGTGAGGATGCTTGGCATTTTTAAGGGCGTCTCCCGGCTGGTTGTAAAAAAAATGGTCCCCGTTATATAGGGATCTGCCAGATCCTTACAAAACGGGGACCATTTTTTTTGGGACTACACAGGAGCCACGAACTCAGCAGCATCATGGGCACNNGGGGTGGGGTGGTGGGGTGGTGGGGTGGTGGGGTGGTGGGGTGGTGGGGTGGTGGGGTGGTGGGGTGGTGGGGTGGTGGGGTGGTGGGGTGGTGGGGTGGTGGGGTGGTGGGGTGGAAAGGTTAGCACTTGGGGCAAGCCCAAGAAGCAAGACTCCTCCGGCCTCGACGGACTTCGCGGGCCTTGTATGCTCGCTCCTTGTAGACCAGCCAATTGAAACGGTCTCGTTTGACCCCTGAACCTTTGGACGCGCATTTATCCATGAACTCCGTCATCATCTTGACGTACAACTCAAAGGTCGCGCACTGCGAGTTGTAAAAGTCCATCTCGCCAGATTCCTGAGCATCCTTCTTGCACGCTTCTGCTTCACGTTTGTGATAGCTACAGAATCGCGACTTCTGGTACACTTTTTTGTCGCACTTGGGGAAGCAACAGCTTCTTCCCGCAAGCCCCGGCTGATCGAGAAAGTCCTTGACTGAGCCGGACGGCTGCTCAACCTTCTTCTTCTTCGGCGGTGTTTGAATCGACTGGGCCACGGCACCGCATGCATCCTCCTCGTCAAACTTCAGCTGGGGCTCTGCATCCGACATCTCAATGTCACAATGCTGGCACAACGATTTCGGACTAATCGTGACAATGGAGCAACAGCTTGGGAGACAGCTGCAAGCAATGCACAGCCAAGCAATGTCGCAAGGAGCACGCTGCCAACTCTGACGCAAAAGTAAACAAGCTGTATGCTGCACATGGGTCGGACTCGCACTGCGTCTGCCACTGCCATGACTCACCCTTCCCGGCACATGAACAATAGCTGTTTTCAACATCGCAAGTCCACAATAAAACCAGAACCCGACGGCTCCTGCAATGACAACGGCTCTGGTCAACGGACTACACTGAACAATCGCAACAGAATCAGAACTTCATCACTGCAGTCATCACCTGACGCTACCGTCATGTCAGTCACTGGGCCCTGCACCAAGAAGCTTATCTAGGCAGTCATTTGGCGGCCCGGGAGCACCAGCAGCCATCATCACAATCACAATCACAATCATCACATATCATGCAGTCACACATATCAATCATGAGTCATCTTCCGCTCCAGGGCAAAACCATAAACCCAAGGCAAATCCCATCAACACAGCACCAAAGCACATACACCCGACTCCCACGACACATTTTGCCCCAGGCCGGGACCAGGCAGCTGGATAGGTCCTGCGCGCGGGGTAGTCAAATGGGAAATCCCGCAAAATTACAAATTCTACCGGAACTTAGCTTTCTGGGTGGTTTTTTGGTTCTGCAGCGCCAAACCCTAAATTCGTTTGGTTTCGCTCAGGCCTGTACGGAGCTTATCCTTCGTGGGGCTTCGTGGGGCTTCGTGGGACCTTCGTGGGGCTTCGTGGCTTTCTGAGAAACCTCTAGTGGACCTTCGTGGGGCTTCGTGGCTTTCCACCCTGGCAGACAAGCCTAAATCGGACCCTGTCAAGCCTGAAACAGCCCGGAACCCGAAAGTTATAGGCCACCGGTTTGTTTCGGGTTTTGGGGTCTGTGTCGTTTTGTGGTGGCCGGACTCCGAACCCGAGGAAAACACTAAGTACCAGAGGATTCTGAGCAGAGCGGTTGAGCATTGGAAATTTTGGCACTCCAAGGCATCAGTGCTTTCTGTACAGATGATCACGGGCTCGGCAACGTTGGGAATGGACTCGGCAGCACGATCTCCCACCTTTCCCAAGGGCTCCAGTCTTCGTCTGTCAAAAGAAGACCGCATGTCTCACACCGGTGGCCCACATACTCGACCGACTGAGACCGCTCAGACTTTACCTGGATTGCCTGTCCTGGCCTACACCGTGGCTGCACCACTGACAAAAGGCTGGATGACGATGACGACGCACTCTCCGAACGGATTGTCCCATCTGAAACCATCTTCCCAGCCTGGGGTCGTGCCTTCGGATTTGGCCTAGAGGGCCCAGACACCTTTCCAGCAGCGGGAGGATCACGCGGCCGTGCCTTGACCTTCACCTCCTCCTCGGGCTTGCCAGAACGCCGAGCCTTGGGGCATGCGGGGAACGCCTTGACCTCCACGGCCTTCTTCTCGCCAGGAGCCTTCGCCTCTGCAGCTGCAGTGACAGGAGGAGCCCGTGGTCGTGCCTTGGCCTGCACTGGACCCTTTGCCCTCTCAGCCGCCTCCGCCGCTTTCAGTCGTCGTGCTGCGAGACCGGCATCCGAATCCTCTCTGGGCTTCAAGACAACCTTGGGACCAGGAACTTCAGGCACCTTTGGCGGCGGCGGCAACTCACGCTTGACCTTTATCGCAGCTGGCACAGGTGGAGGCGGCGGCAGATACCCGTTCCACTTGCGACGGGGCAGCGGGCTCCGACTCCTTGCTCGATCACCGCGGTCACGAGAGTCACGCCGCTCGTAGCAAACCCAGCATCGGCTCGCACGAAACATGCTAGGGCTAGCTTAGCTAGGCTTCCTTCAGAATATGGGCCAGTGCCAGTGTGCCAGTGGGCGATTGTGCATGTGTGTGTGTGTGTGTGTCTCACATGAGCACTATGTCACGATGAAAGCTTTGGGTCTGCAGCAACTACCACACCATCGATCGCTCACATCCTGCACAGCCACAAAGGGCGACCGGGCAACACCTACTCCGAAACACCCGTACCTAAGCCCAAAGCCCTAAGCCTAAACCCGAACACCCCAAGCTACTAACTTCCACAACGAAAAACATTCGAAAGGCCCACAGCAATGCAGCAGCACGCCAAAACCCGAATCGCACTTGTCGACTAACTCTAACCCCTGAAGCCTGACATGACATCACTGACATAACCCTGCCCCGAACATCTCTTAATAAACAGTACATACGCTTGAAAGATTACCCAGAGCCCTTAGCTATGTTGCTTACGCAAGCCACCCACTGTCCTCTGCTTCTCGCGACTTCGTCGTGCATCTCGCGAAGACCCCTGGCCAACAAGTAGGCATTTTGGTGTTTGCTAGAGGCACAAGTGAAAGTTTTAAGTCGTTCGAGGGTCCAGAGCTACGAAGTCCTAATTCTTCTGTGGGGTGGGGTGATTAGGCTTGGGCTGCACTTACTCCTCCGGTCGAGGGCTTGCCTTGTCTCAGGGGCAACAGACTCGACTGACACAAACAGTAACAGCTGCACATCATTATCATTTGTTTTTTGGCCACACACATATCTACCATATCTACCGGGACACCTTATACGATCATGTGACAACTAGACGAAACCTAGGCCTGAGCTTTGCGACCACCAACCGAAGCAAGCCACGCCGACCCGCACAGGCACCACCCCAAGCAGCGATTATACCGCAAACCCCTAAACCCCTAAACCCCTACAACACCAAAGAAGCCTTAAACCCCTAAACCTCAAAGGCCAACTTCAAGACGCAAACCCTTAAACCCCTAAACGCCTACAACACTAAACAAAACAACTAGAAGACGAGTGGCCCG